AAATATTTAAGAAAATAAATTTTTACACTATAAAACATGTGAAACGCAATAAAACTTGAGATTAGTTTGTGCCTGATTAATTTTAATTGGGTTTGATGATTAATATTGAAATAATAATATTTTTTATTAAACTTTTATGATAAATTTATATATTATTTTTTTGATAAATTTTTTATTACAATATTTGTGTTGTAATTATATAAATATTTTTTTTATTTAATATCAATTTTAATAATTAATGACTAAATTTTTCATCACAATTGCATTTGTGATTATTTTTTTGTCACTCAATTGTAACATTTGCGATGAAAATTATTGTAACAAAAATTTTTTTTTTGTGACGAATAAAATTGTTGTAAATAACTTGTTAATAATGTCAATTTTTTCTATCACTATAAGATTATTTTTTGTGATAGATGCTTAATTTGTCACTAAGAGCATTAGTGATAAGGGTTTTACTAACGATTTAAATTTTATCACTAATAATAATTTGTGACAAAAAATAAAGATTTAATGATCAATAATTTAATCACTCAATATAAATTTTCTTATAGTGACGTCTACTGAAATGCAATAGATTTTAACACAGGATGAATTATATAAATAATCAGATCAGTTTGTTATTTCTATAGCATAGATAATAAAATTTCAAAAAAAATAAAATAATAAAAATCTATTACAAGGTTAGATACTAGCACATAAGCAAGCAGTAAAATGCTAATTAACCAATGATATACATTATGTAATATACACTATTAATTTATTAATTTAAGAAGTTAGAACAATAATAATATTGTTGTGAATATAATCTCATACTAAATGTAAGTGTATATCACCATCAAATAAGTAATATAATAATGAATTCAAAATCGTCCCATAAAAAGTAATGATCATAAAAAACTCTTGTTAAATACTAATGTTATCTTAATTTTAATTTTATTTAACACCGTCAAAATTTAAGAAGAGGAAACACGATTTAATCAATTTTAAACTAAGCTAAACTATCCTAATTTACTAAATTAGTTTCAATTTCTAAACAATTTAGGGAAACAATTTTCACCAGCTTAATCTGCTACAAACTTCTATTGTTGAATTTTCTCAATCTATTAATTTCCAAGGGACAATAAAAAAAATCCATATATAAATTACTAATCTTTCTTAAGATCAATAATATTTATCTTTTAATCTATCAAGTTTTGTATTTCTACACAAATCAAAATAAGTAGAAACATTATTAAGCCTTATGACATTTCTTTTAAAATTGGGTATAGATGTTATGAGTATAATCTTATCTCATGCAACCTACGTAGACAAGTGTCGGTTGTCCAAACAACTAAAAATATTAAATACAAAATAAAATAATCACTTAATAAAAAATAAATAAATAAATTGATGAATTCAGCTAAACTTGAAAATTCATGGTTTGAATTCAATTAGAACTCTAAAAATAAATTGGTTCATAATTCAAATTATAGAGATTAATTGTAAAGAAAATATCATTTTCAACAAAAAATAATAAAGAAATAAGCCAAAATTAATCAATGTCACCGCTAAAGAATTTTCTCTTTTTCATTGGAGTTCCTCTCCCTCCTTTAATTAGCTAGAAAAATCTCATCCTCAACCGGCGGCCTTTAATTCTAATACTGGATAAGTATTGACGTGAAAACCCAATCGTAATAAAAGTGAAACCCATTTCTAAACAATAAGGACTTAGTGTTAATGTGCTGGAAATCGGCCTAGGTATCGACACGCTAAGTACCGACACCTTTACTGTACCTACGAAGAAGAGTCCGTGTTGGAATTTTTGGCCTTCAAAGCTATTTTGACTCTTCATTGATAAAATTGTTTGGATCCCTCATATTTTAACAAATTGACACTTTGTTCTTCTTAATCTTGATTTCTTTGGTTTGGTCTTAAGAATTCCAATCTCTTGCAATCTAGTCTTTATCCATACAAAAAGAATTATACATCTGTAAAATCAAATAAAATAAGTCTCAAACAACTCAAAACACTAAAACTTAAAATTAAAAGACATGCTAAAAATATATAAAATTTAGAATTATCAAGCACAAACACATGTAAGTTTGATAATCTAAAAAGTATGGATACCAATGTAATAGATTTTAATAAACAGAAATAAGGTAGATAAAATAGAGCATAAATTTGCATAATAAAAACTAAAATTGAATATACCAAAATTTTAATCTAAAATAAAGAATTTCAACTAATAAAAACAAAATGCTAATTTACTAAAAAATTGAAATGCAAAATATGAACACACAAATTACTGCAAAATAATAATAAATGATTTGAAACACAACCAAAAAAACGTATGTTGCATTTCTTTCAAGTTGGAGAGAAATTGATATATAGCATCAGCTGACTAACACAACACTCCTACTCTTGGTCAAGGAACAAAAATGATCCCATTTTTGTTGTTGGTTTCGGTATCAAACAATCTATAAGGTCAATAAAGAGGTTGATTTAGATCTATTATGTACATTTTCCAAAGAAGAGGTTTGCTTCTGAGGACACAATCTCTTCACGAACTACTGGTGCAGCTTCTGCACAAAAAAATCCAAGCATAGTTAGAAAAACATAAAAGCAATCTTCAATGAAATAGAAATAAGGGGAGAAGGAAAATTGCCAATGACATTTGCATGTAGCATTCAGAGCACCATATTCATGTTTCACATATTAGATAACGCCAATAGAAACAATTTTTCTTTAAAATATGGATAGTGAGAATATGTTTAAATTGAATGAGTGTTTGATCAATGATTAGTTTAATGAGGGTATAATTCCTGTTAAGGACCAATTTTTAACTTGAAATGCAAGCAGATAAGAAGACATTTTACTAAGATGCATGATTACTCTGCTTAGCCTAAACCTAAACAACTCAAAGATAGATAGAGGAAGAATGATACCTTAATGATCTTCTATTCTGTCTAGAGGTCAGGATGGCACTTGTAATTACTGGTATAGTTCAAAGAGTCTTGAGTGGTGAATGTATAAGCATAATAACTTAATGATCTTCTATTCTGTCTATATAATATAATGCTTTTGTTTTATAGCTGATCTCTTAGTAGTAAAAAATTTAAATATTAATATTTAAAAATATTAAAATAAGCGAAAAAAATTTAAAAAATTATTATTCTTTATTAAATTACATGTTATCTAATATAAAAAAATAATATAATGCTTTCTACTTAAAGCAGCTATTTTGATGATATACTTTAATCATTTCATTTATAACTTTTTGTATTTG